ATGGTTGATATATCCATAAGTTTTAGATAGCGTTTGCATTTTTTAAAACGCTATGATAGATTGACATAATTGGAAATGCTATGATAGCGTACATTTAATAGCACATAAAATAATAAACGCTATAATAGCATACTTTTTGAATCCCTTAACCCTAAACATACTTCTGAACCTTATACTTTAAAAAGCAAAATTGAAATACGTATACACTAATAATCTTTATAATATTTTAGAACTTAAACTCCAAATCTTAAATCTAAAATTATAAACTTAAATATTTAAAAATTAAACACCAAACCTATATACATTAAATCCAAACCCTATATCATACATAATCTCTAAATCTAAAACCCTATATCTTACACCAAACCTATATACATTAAATCCAAACCCTTAAATTCAATTAATCATATAACATAAATTATAACTACAAATGTTAAAACTCTAATATTTTTATATTTAAAAGTATAATCTTAAGTCTTAAATTTAAAACCAAAACACTATCTACCAAATTCTCTTTTTTTTTTGTGAAACCTATCTACCAAATTCTAAACTCACTTAATTATATACCCTAAAATCTAAACTTCATATTTAAACACTTAACCATTGATTATTTTTAATCTAAGGGTTATAAATCAATTTTGTGGCTATCCTCTAACTTCTTTTTCATTGGTCTGTTTTTCTAGTACAAGGATAATCAGTTCTTGACCATTGATTAGTTTTAATCTAATGGTCTAAAATCAATTTTTTTTTCTCCACTTTCTCTTTTCTCCAAGTCTCCTCCTTTTCCTCTTCTCTTTCTTTCGTGAGTTATTCACAGCCCAGATCTTCATTTCTCTCACTCTCTACCTTGTAAACGAGATAGATTCATCATCATCACTTTGATGCCGTCACGGATCTTGAGCTCGTCGCCGTCCTCACGGATCTTGATCTCCTCGCCATCGTCATCTATACTCGCCGCCGTCATCCTTGTTGCTGCTTTCTCAGATCCATCTACGCCAGTCTCTCTCCCTTACAATCTCTCTCCCTTTCAATCTCTCTCTCTCTCTCTCTCTCTCTCTCTCTCTCTCTCTCTCTCTCTCTCTCTCTCTCTCTCTGTTTTGAGTTTGTTCTTGTTACAGGGCAGATGAGCTTGATGGTGGAGGAGGTAACAAATTCGTTGTGTGACTTGAAGATGGTGACGTCGGAGCTCTCGTGGTTGACGGAGACTGCAGCGGCGACGAAAGGAAGAAGACAACAATTAACTCACAGAGGCTCTCGTGATGTGGACGCCAAAGAAGAAGAACCATGGCTGGATGTCGAAGGCATGGAAGAACATGAACAGTGAAGATGAGACGATGTAGAAGACGAAGAAGGTGGGTGTGCGGCGTAGGTTTAGTTAGTAATTAGGTTTAGTCTTGGTTTAGGTTTTTGGTTTGTTTGGTTTAGTAACTTTTTATCTAATTAGGTTTATTTTTTAATTTGTAAATCCTATTTTCTGTAAACCAATTCAATAATAAATTAGTTTAAATAATAAAGAAATTTTAAATATATTTATCAATTTTTAAAATTTAATTATGTTTAGAAAAATAATTTAACAGAATTAATAAATATAAATAAATAAATTTGATGTAAATAATAACAAAAAAAATAAATGCTATTAAAGAATATTTAATTGCATATAAAAAAGCGCTATAGTATATCGTAATATGATAACACCGCAAAAAAGTGTTATCTAATGTGCCATACCTACTATGACGGGCGATGATACAACGTTCCTTAAACCGCTGTTGAATCGTTAGATAGCGTTTTTCGTCCGCTAATAAAGCCCTTTTTTCTTGTAGTGAATGACTTGCAAAATGTTGGTACAGTGCCGTCATAATAGTTAAACGCTCCACCAGGGAGTCTTCTTCCCAAACCGTTGGGAGCAGGCTCCGATTCCTTAAAGACGTTGTAGCTGGCACCCCATTGCTGAGCAAAGAGATGATCAAGGAAGCAAAACCTCTCGCTCCTGAACGCTTGTGGATGTTCAGCGTACCTCTTCCTCAGCACATAAATCCAAGCATCAATGTGCTGCATTTAGAATAAAACAACTCAGAAGATATCAGACGACTTAACAGACGACTTAATGGTAAGTCGTCTTGTAAGTATTCTACGTAGACGACTTAACAGACGACTTACCATTAAGTCGTCTTGTAAGNGCATTTAGAATAAAACAACTCAGAAGATATCAGACGACTTAACAGACGACTTAATGGTAAGTCGTCTTGTAAGTATTCTACGTAGACGACTTAACAGACGACTTACCATTAAGTCGTCTTGTAAGTATTCTTTGTGAACGACTTATCAGACGACTTAATGGTAAGTCGTCTACAAAGAAGACTTACCAGACGACTTAACAGTAAGTCGTCTGATAAGTCGTCTACGTAGAATACTTAGAAGACGACTTAACGGTAAGTCGTCTACGTGGAATTATAGTCAAAAGATACAGTTACACAGTCATGCAGCCAAGATAAGGAGGTTCGGAGGATGTAATACCACTTAGTTGGCGCTGTACGTGGTTTATCCTCCAAAGGTGTCTCATACCAGCTGCAAACACAAAATGTTCAGTCAGAAATCAGTTTTGTAGACTAAAAAGAAAGCTATTATGGATCACTTACGGATCAGTTTTCAACCAATCAGCAAGCTGCTTCAGTTTGGTCTTGTTAACTGATCCAAACGGATTATAGACTGGAGCCTTTTTGGAAGCAATGTTGGCCTTTTTGGAAGCGATGTTGGCCTTTTTGCTTCGACTTTGGCCTTTTTGGTTTGGGTTTGGAATGATCACTTTGGCCGTGCTGTTTGTTGTATAAGGAGATTGTTGTGAGGCAGCAAGAGTCCTTTCTCGCACACTCTTGGCACGTTTAATTTGTTCCAAACCGGCTTCCCTCTTTTGCTCATATCTTACTCGCTCCTTCACTCGATCTGATGCAGTGGGTTGGTGTTTTTCCAAGATTTCGAAGCTCGGGTCTGGATCTGGAAGGCTGGGTGGAAGCTTGGATGGAAGGTTGGATGGAAGGCTCGGTTCTGGAGGTTTTTCCTGGCAGGGAACTATACTCAGCTCTTTCGAGGCAGGGGCACCTGCGGACAAATCCGTTGCTTCACCCCTCTTCGGCAAGCTCTTCTTCTCCGCGTTCGACCCATTAAAGCTTTCACATTCCCCTTCAGTTTGACCCTTACTCTTTTTTTTGTTCTTTTCTGGTGACACCAAGGATTTTTTCCACAGCTTCCACCCTTTCAGACAGATACTTGATCTCCGTAAGGCACGTCCCAAACCCTTGACTCAAGGCATCAAGTACATCCTTCAAAGAATCTTTCAAAGAATCCTTCACGATTCTTTCAATATCCTCTTTCGTCTACCCACCAACGTTCGGTCTGACCTAAGCCTCTTCCTCTGCAACTTCCTCTGCATCTTCCTCTGGCTCTTTCTCTTCATCTACCAGCTCTATACGCTCTGTACGACCTTTCTTAAGAGGTCTTGGACTCTCTTTCTTCACCAGAACTATCGCTTTCTTCCTTTTCTTTTGTACCGGCCTCTCCAAGTACCGGTGACTTCCCAGCAATCCATGGTCCACTTCCATGGTTTCTTTATGTACATGAGTTTAATTATGTTCTCCGCGGCCGGATCATCAGCATCAGAATCCCATTTTTGAAACATTTTAGCCATGCCCTTCTCAACAAAGTAGATAGCACTAATCTGCAATAAATAGAAGATATAAACTTAGATATTTGACGGATTAAGAAATATGGAAAGAAAAGAATTCGCAGAAAAACTTATGATTAAGTCGTCTGGGTACTCTTCCCAGACGATTTAATAATAAGTAGTCTGCTAAGTCATCCAGCTGGAAGACTTTTCAGACGACTTATTTTTAAGTCATCTGCTAAGTCGTCCAGCTGGAAGACTTTCCAGACGACTTAATCATAAGTAGTCTGCTTCTGGAGTAAAGTAAATACTTGTCTTTCAATGGCATCTTTAAAATGCCGTCCTTTGGCACCCTTGTAAGCTAGTATCAGTGGAGAGCTGTTTGGTATGGGCTGACCATAATTAGCACCCAATTCCGGGAAAGCTGTGTACACCCAGACCTGGAGAGCATGTACAAACCCATCGATGGTGTAACAACCAGTTATATCTTTGCCCTTCACAGAGTCCATCAACACCTTAAACGTGACTCTCCCCCATGGATAATTCTCAAACCGTTCTAGATCCATCACTAGCCTAGCCAGAGAAGCCCGTGTATGGGTTGAATACTTCCTCCCTTCAANCTGGAGAGCATGTACAAACCCATCGATGGTGTAACAACCAGTTATATCTTTGCCCTTCACAGAGTCCATCAACACCTTAAACGTGACTCTCCCCCATGGATAATTCTCAAACCGTTCTAGATCCATCACTAGCCTAGCCAGAGAAGCCCGTGTATGGGTTGAATACTTCCTCCCTTCAATGTATCCAGCCAAGATGGCAGGGTACCTGAGCCGCTTGCGATCATCCGGAGACCAGTCTTCGCATCTCTGAAATGCATCTATTATCTGATCAGTAGTTGGCCCAGCTTCGACATTAACTCCCAACAACTCCCAGAAAGCAACCAACTCCTTTGTAACAGCACTACAAGAAATGTGAGTATTAGTAGCAGTTCGCGATAGCACGAATTCACAAACTGCTACTAAAAGTGACAAAATCATACCATAATTTTTTCGTAGCATTGAATACGCGCTAGAAAAACAAATTATCAAACCGAATACACAAAAATCACGGATTTTGTTATTGATAACATTTTGGTGTGAAAATTTTATTTTTGTGCGCCAATACTTAGAAAAAACTTATTATTCCCTCTATTTTTTCCCTCTCTTTTCTTTAACATTGATTTTTTTTTCCTTACTTCAATCTATCAATGCTCTTCGTCATATTCTACAATCATAAACCTTTTCAAAATCAAAACTTACGAACCCTAATTCCATGCCAATCAAAGACACCGACTGAACCAAACCCTAATTCCACCTTCCTCTGTCGCTTCTTCTTCTTCTTCTTCTTCTTCCGGACCCACCAGAACTGCCGGATCTATCATCTCCTATGCGCTTCCCCTCCTCCCATCTGTTTCCTACAACTTCTAATTTTGGATCTCAACCCCTGTGTTGCCGACTCTGTTCAAACTCCGATGGTGGATCTGACCTGATTTGTTTACTCCGTGTCTCTCAGTCTGTTGCTCCTCCTTCTCCGACGAATTCCCTAGTCTCGTGTAGTTGCAGAGATTGGTAATGATCAATTGGTTAAGAAAGCTAGGAAGATTAGTACCGAATCTCAATGAAAGATGATTTCTCTACATACTCTGATTATCTCAACAACTTCGTGAGTTTCTTTTCATCTCTTCCCTGTAGAAAAGGTCGATAGATTGAAGTAAGGAAAAAACGAGAATGGAATCCGTGAAGAGTTCATTAACAACGGAGTTCCAGCGAGAGTGTTCTCTCCAAGCTTCATGGAGTAAGCCCATGTAGATTTGGGAGACGAAGATGGTGCAAGCTGGAGTCTTGTCTGGACCAATCGATAGGTCATCAGCTCAAGCGATGATCCAACTCCTGGAAGCGAGAGGAATATACGCTGATGTCAAAGCAAGACCCAATCCTTATATGGTTAGTAGTGCTCTACCTTTTAATAGATGTTGTGATTTTGTTTAGTTTAACTGAGGTTTTTGGGAAGGTGGAAACCGTTTTTGGAAGAATATTGGTTTGCGTTTCCAGACTCCCTGTAACACCATTGAAGGTTTGATTTGTAGATTAAATAGATAAAGACTCCAACTTTTAATTTTTTTGTTCAAAATTGATTTTTTAACTGTTGTTGTTTCAGGAAAGTGTGTGTGGAATGTGGTGTTCCTTGGCATGATACTATGGGCTGTGAAGAGTTTCAGATTCTTCCGGTTGATGAAGGATATCCAGATGATATCACATTGCATCGCTCGGCTAAGTATAAGAGATGGAGACAGTGTTTGACTTTGTGGTTTCTTATATCAATGTTGAGATCTCTTTGTGTTCTTTTGGTGTGGGCGTGAGTTTTGCTACACTTGGGGAGAAGAGTACAGAGAAGGACAACATAGTTGCACTTGTGAGACATTCAACTCAATGCCAAGGGTAATGACGCTTACTCAGAGCTAGAAAGATCTCAGCTAACTCTGATCCAACGGTCCTTAGTGGGTACTGGGTTTAGTCTCAGAGATCACCATACTTGCCTTGAAACTTGAAAGGTTTGTTTATCTCTGAACTAGCTCTGATCCAACAGTCCTTACTGGGTGCTTGGTTTAGTCTCAGAGATCACCATACTTGCCTTGAAACTTGAAAGGTTTGTTTATGTCTGAACTTGAGCTCTCTGTGTATGGTTTTTATGTCTTAGATCTACAGACAACTTAAGTATGTTCCATTCCACGTCTTTGGTTTTTTCAGTTTCATATGCAACGACTCTGAGTGAAGTTGTTTGAATGGTGTATAGGTAGGAAGACGAGATGGAATCGGATCTAGAGAAACTCTTTGTTGGTGGGATTTCATAGGACACATGAAGAAAAGTTAAACCGGTTATAATGTTAAAATAGGTTATGATGTTAGAACCAATGTTAAAACATGTTATACTTTTGTAAATGAATTTCGAGTAATTGAATTTAATGCATATTTTAGTTTTAAATCAATTTACACTTAAATTTATGCAATATATTTTTAGCAATGAATAAGGAGGATGATTAACAAAAGAATGATATTTATAAACATTATGTTTAAAAAATAAATTATCATTTATATTCATAAAGTATCTATTTAAATAAATTTTAGATTATTGGGTTTAAACCCCTAAACATAAACTTTTTCTCATTATAAAAAAAATCATTTTACACATACATTTATAAAGTACCTATATGAAAACTATTATTTGTATTTTTCATTTAAAAAAAAAACAAAACCCTAAACCCTAAACATAAACTTTATAACTTTAATTTCATTAAATAATTTAAATCTTAAACTTAAACTCAAAATTTAATGATTTTAAATATCTATTCTCAAGTTTTAATTCTAAACCTCAACAAACAAAGTCTTAAATCTACACCCTAAAACTAATATCATAAACCCCAAACTACCTTACATACAAAGTAATAGTGCAAGAATCAAAGTCAAACTTTAATTTGAAACTTAAACATAAAACTCATTATTAAAAAAAATATTATTACACTTTAATTCAGTTTTAATCATAAAACTAAATTATAAACAACAAGACTAATTTTAAAAAGAAATTATAAACTCTAAATCATAATAATATAAAAGAAAAACCGAATATAGTAAAGAAGAAAGAAAAAAAAACTTAACTCCAAAACACTAAGTATGTTTTAACCCCTAAACTCAAAACATAATTAAAACTCTATCTTTAACACCATAATCTATAATCTTAAAATTTAATTCAAAATTTTATTTAATTTTAGGTTATAACTTACAAAACATAAAACTTAAATCTTCAACCAAACTCTATACCCTATACCCTAAACTTTAACTCCAAACATAAACCTTATCTCCACATAATAAAAACCTAAAATCTAATTTAATTTTTAATTTTTTATACAAATGTGTTATAGTAAGGAAAATAAATGTTATAGAAATAAATATTTAAATAAATAAATAATATAACACATCTGACAAAAAATTAACAAAACACAAAAACAAAAGAAATACTGTATTTTTTTTGGTTAATAAACAAATAAATGGACTGAAAATATGAACCAATCACACAGAAGTGCGCGGATTACCATCTTAACCGTTGATATCCTTTAATCTAAGGGTCAGATTTAATTCTTTTTGTGTTGCTTCTCTTGTCCATCTCTCTCTCTCTCCTTTGTCGTAACATTTTCTCTTCTTTCTCACAGATTTTTTTTTTATTCTTCCTCTCTCAACTTTATCCTCTGATTTCCTCCTTCTTCATCCTCTATCTCACTGATTTCTCTTGTCCCTCTCTTTCCTCTGGCGAACTCATGAAATTTTGGTACGTACAGCTCAATCCCAAGCAGCGATGAACGCAGCTCCGAGGACATCTGTTGCCCTGAAGCGAAGATTTTCATATTCTGCCGGATTGATGATGATTGTAATCTTCTCTATTTCCCCCATTTTGATACGATCTAGGGTTTCCTTTAGTTTCGTCTCGATTTCACTCAATCCTGACGATTTTGGTAGATTTAAAAAGTTTATAGAATGTGTGAATAAGTTTCTCAGATCAGCAAATCTTTGATTTTTATTTTGTTGTTGTTGTTGTTGTTTTAACTAACAGTTAAATGTGATAAAGAATGTCTCTTTCTATCATGGGTTCTTCTAAAAAAGATTATCCATAAGTCTTGGTTCTTAGTTTCTGTGATTTACTCTGTTCTGTTTTGCCATTCTCAGGTCCAGACGATCTGTTTGAGGTGAAGAACAACGAAGAGCATTAAACTGTTACGTCTTTCCAGTAATCTCTTCTTTGTTCACTTGATAGAGATGTGTCGGAGAAGACATACGAGAGACAATAAGAAGTCTGATGGTGGTGGGAAAAGCAGAGATTGATGCAGTTGGTTGACGGCGGCAAAGCGTTGGTGCAGAGTTAGGGTTTATTTTTTTAGGTTAAGCTGGTTTAGTTTTTTTTCTAAACCGGGTTTATGTGTATACCAGCCTTAGGTTAATTATGGTTTGGTTTAATGTTTGTAATTAGGTTTTGGTTTAATGTGTTTTTTAATTATGTGTATACTGATTTTAATCAATAAATAAAATTTAACTTTTATTTTATGAATTAACTTGAAATTTTATTTTTTAATTATTTTATTTTAAGTAATTATTGTTAATTAATTAAATTTTAATAATTAATTTAATATTTTTTAATTATTTTATTTTTAATTATAATATTATATATATGTCATTATAAATTATGTTATGGCACATGAAAAATGCCATAGTAAGTCATATAATAACAAAATTATGGTGTTATTAAAATAGTTTAATATAGCAAAACATAAATGCTATAATATCTATTGTTTTTATAGCACATGAAAATATGCTATGATAGAAGGGGGGTCTACCATAGCTGCGGCTGTCACGGCGTTCTTCGAAACGCTACGAAAATCTTATAGTAGCATTTTTCGGCTGCTACCAATACCAATATTTCTTGTAGTGCAGGACAGTTTGGTCTCTCAATGTCCTGAATGTACTCGCAGTTTAGACCAGTGAGGTATTCAAACTCGAGCAGTAAAAACCTCAAAGGTTGTGGACCAGCAAGACTCCACAGCTCATACTTCTTTTTTATGTCGAGTTGGAAACAGAGTATTGTTGGGGTCAAAATCGGTACGACGGAATTAATAGCCAAAACTCCCCGCAAGAATACAAGAAGAACAATTTTATAAAGCTCGAGAATCGTTTTATAAAACTTGAGAAATCGTTTTATAAAACTCGAGAATCGTTTTATAAAACTCGAGAAATCGTTTTATAAAACTCGAGAATCGTTTTATAAAACTCGAGAAATCGTTTTATAAAACTCAAGAAATCGCTTTATAAAACTCGAGAAATCGTTTTATAAAGCTCGAGAATCGTTTTATAAAACTCGAGAAATCGTTTTATAAAGCTCGAGAATCGTTTTATAAAACTCGAAAAAACGTTTTATAAAACTCGGGAATCGTTTTATAAAACTCGAGAATCGTTTTATAAAACTCGAGAAATCGCTTTATAAAACTTGAGAAATCGTTTTATAAAACTCGAGAATCATTTTATAAAACTCGAGAACCGTTTTATAAAACTCGAGAATCATTTTATAAAACTCGAAGATCGTTTTTATAAAACTCAAAAGTCGTTTTATGAAATCCGAAGATCGTTTTATAAAACTCGAGAATCGTTTTACAAAACCGCAAAAAACCGAAAAAGCTGTAAAACGCGAACTAGTCGCAACTAGTTCGGCGAACTAAGAAACACTCTCTAGTTCGCCCATCGGCGAACTAAGAGTCACTCTTTAGTTCGCCCATCGGCGTACTAAGCCGGGCCCGGCTTAGTACGCCCATCTGCAAAATAGACGTGAAAAAGAAGCGCGATGAAAACGACGGTAACCGTAAAATATCCCCAATCTTTGAAACCCTAATTTGAAATGAAAATATCCACAACATCCAACCTAACTAAACAACAAGTCGATTGAAATCCCCAATTTTTGAAACCCTAATTTGAAACCAAAATTTCCCGAAATCATTGAAAACTCAAAACGAAACGGTAAAAGTAAAGGAAAACAACATCCATTCTAATAAAAACCCATTAAATCGGCAAGAGAAGCCTTCGATTTACCTTGGTCTTGTAGCGGATCGAAATCGCCTCGAAATCACCTTTGAGAGAAACAGAGTTAGGGTTTTCTGAATTTCGCGAAAAGTGCTTAAAAAAAAATCTTCTTATATATGTCCGGTGAAAAATCCGGTTAGGTTTAAAAGTAATTAGGTAAAATCCGGTTTGGTGACTTATAATTAAGTTGTCTATTGATACTATACATCCGACTAAGTCGTCTGCCAGAAATATATTTACCAGATGACTTAGATATAAGTCGTCCAGACCCTAAACCCTAAAACCTAAACTAAATTGACTAAATTAACTAACTAACCACGTTATAAAATCAAATTATACTTAAAAAGAGTCTACTATATATAGAAATAAACACACTTTGGTAAATTTTTAATTATTCAGAAAAACATTTATGCTTTCGAAAACCTGACCCTAAGAAACACATACAATACTACAACATATGTTGGCAAACCCAAAACCAAAGAATATCATCACTCACTACTTTCACTCATCTATGTTAAAAATAATTAAATTTTGTTCTATCTTAATTTCTATCTCTTAAAACTGGTGTTAATTACATGATTTCAATTTTTCACTTATCTAAATATTTTTTACAAATTTTTTAAATTATGTTTAAGAATAACTATACCAGACGACTTTCAACTAAGTCGTCTGGACGACTTAGTTTAAAGTCGCCTGAATAGAATACTTACGAGGTTAGACGACTAATAATTAAGTCGTCTGACAAATCTTCCGGCTGGATGACTTTCCAGACGACTTAAAATATTAGTCGTCTACAAAGTCGTCCAGACTTTTTGAGTATGTTTTAAGAATTTGTGTTAGACTTCTTAGACGACTAATAATTAAAATTGGTGTTACCATGGTTTGTATATAGAGGACAAAAGGAGTTGTAGTTATAAAAGTTGATCATCCATTACAAGTCATAGGTTTAAAAACAATTTGAAACAAGGGAACAACAACATAGAAGTCATCCATTACAAGTCCACTAGAAGCAGATTACAATAAGACGATAGCAAGACAAACATCCATCATTTAAAAAGAGACGAGGAAGTTGAGGCACCATCCGCAGCATCATCCCCTTGAGGAGGTGTATACTGAATCTCAGTAAAACTAGGACCGAAAGGAGTCACATGAAATACCATTTCTCCTTCCTTTTTGAACACGAGAATGTCACCGATGCAAAGGGAGTGTGCTTAGGCGAAGGCTTCCCAACCATCAGTGAGTCTTCTTCCTTCTTGTATAACTTCCCAAGTTTG